TGCCAATATTTACACATCTTTGAAAGTTTTTCATTGTCCTTTCCAAAGCAGACAGAGAAGAATTGGTCTAGTCTCTCTACAACTACCTTTGGTGTACTGGAGGAGTGTCCTCAAATCTCCTCTCTGTCTTGTCTTCTAAACTGATGAAATCACAATCCTTTAAGCTTCCTACATGAATTTTGTTTTTTAAACTGCTTTTTTTTTTTCTCCCCCCTCTAGATGTTCTCCAAATGGTCTGTCTGCATCTCCTATTTGTATAGCTGAGATCATACTTAATCACTAATAAGATTTCATAGGAGGATTATTTGATGCTTTACGCAGTGCAGCCCACCTGCAGGTTTCCCCTTAGGCTCTGCTTTTCTTTCTGCAATGAGATGAGGCCAGCAGTATGGGGCCATCTACTTCTATGCACCGTCTCTCACCTGAAACCAAAGGAGAACTTTGCCTCAGTTTCCAACATACAGTTATGGTGAATGCCTGAATTTGCTTGCTGAAGCTTCTTTCATGTGGAGTAGTATAAAATGAAACTGGATTCCAGTTTAACACAGATGTTGTGAGATGAACAGTTTGGAGAGAGAGAGAGAAAGATGGCATTTTATATGTGTACCACCAAGTAGGTCAAGGAACTGCACCAAACTATTTAAAGCCATTGTATGGCCTGCTTGTGGTTAAGGAGTTAGAAATACCTATAATTTCTTTTCTATCCAACCCTATTTGGAAGATGTCTTTTTTTTTCCTTCTTCTTTTCTCCCTTCCCTCCCCAAAGCCTCATTTTTAAGCCCAAGCAAGGAGGAAGAGGAAGAATTTGAACCTGCTACAGTGCTCTTTAAATTCGGATGCAAGACCAACACTCTTCAGTCAGGAAGACAGTTTTTGGTGAAGCAGTTAAACTGAAGCAGTGGCATTTTAATTAAGATGAAGAATAAATGTAATGCACTGTGTTCTTGGGGACAGACTGCCTGGTGTGCTGTGTGCTTTATGCAGCAATTTGTAGCTTGGAGCAGGAATACACAATGGGCAGCCCCTTGGTTCTGAAAGCAATATCATTACTTTATGGTCTTCAAGTATTCATTTGCTAAACAAATAATTGATAAAATGAACAAGTGAAAGAGACACTGAGAGGGTGTGACCCAGTGCCAAGCACTGGTCTTCATGGCTGATTTTTAAATGCACTTTATGCTAATAGTGTTCACTTGGAAAAATTGTCCACTCCCTAACTTCTGCTGCTGAGTTTTTTTTTTTTTTTAATTGCATTCAGATGGTTGGACTGAAACAGCTCTAGGGTTTATATACAGATATCCTGCAAGTGCTTCTTTTCCCAGATCATCCTACCCAATTTTTCTAAGCCAATGCTCCTTTCACTGAGGCTGGGATCCAGGATTTCTTGAACTCCTACGTTTCTTAAAGGTCTGTCTCATACTATCAGGCACTGTTTTGCTGAAACAAATGCAGTTACAACTATCTAAACACACCGAGGATCTCGCCTGGAGCATTACTCCCCTCCTGGGCTGGGCTGTCTGAGTTAGGTCCTTGGTCTCTGTCAAACTTGTCTATGGAGGAGTCTATGTCTCAAGGCTTACCAGTACAAATGTGATTCTGGAAAGAAGGGCTGTTCCTGAATAAATGAGATGATAAAAGCAACCTTTTATTCCTGATGGAATGATCTTAAGAACTGATGGCTTTGTGGCATTTCAACAAGATATTCTATGCATAGTGGCTGCTGCTATCAGCTTTTCATACCGATGCCGAGATCCAGGGCAACTGGATTATTTAAGCAGTTTAACTGAAGTTGGTCTGTATGTGCAGTAGGTGGCCTTCAATGTGAAGATCTTCAAGACATCGGTTTCTGAAACAGTTGTTCTAGCACTTTTCAAAAGCACTGAATTTGCTTTACACAGGAAAAGAAGAACTTTTCATGCAGTCCAAGCAGAGTTTCTGTAATCTGAGTTATGCTCATAGCCTAACCAGAGTTTAAACTCCAGCTTCAAAGGAAGAAATAATTAAAGATGGAACACTATTCATCTTTTAAATAAAAGTGTTTAATTTCGATATTTTTTGTCTAGTTCCCTTTCTGTGAAAGGGATGTGCAAACAAAAGCTTTTCAGACACTGAAGTATTGTGTGATGACAGCTTTGCAACTATTTCCCCAAACAGTTATTGCTATGCAAAATGATAATACAGTGATGAAGGTTTAAAAAAAAAAAAAAAAAAAGAAATGTAATAGGTGTTGGAAGGCCATGTTTTCATATGAATAAAATCACTACTGCATCTGCCTTGTGATATTACAATAAGCTGCAGAACCAAGAGGAAAATTAAAGGATTACTTAAACCCAACGATAAACATGCAAATTAAAAGTCATCATTTTTAAATGAAGTCAGCCACTATTAAAATAAGCACAAAATTACATACTATTTTGTATGTGTGGTTTAGAGAATATATAGAATGTTAAAATTGAATCAAATTAAGAAAAACATTTTCCTAATGCAAGTAAAATATCTATTTAATTAGATCGTAAAGAAAGGAGATTAAAAGTAATATTTTGCAATACAGTAATTACTATTTTTCAGGAGTAGTCACGTTCCTGTGTGTTGATCTAAATTTAAACGTGATAGCAGATCTCTTCGGGGTCCTTTGTTTTGTTTGTGCCTCTAATTATTTTAAATCACTCCCATTACCTTTATTTTGCTTCCCTGTACGCCGTGCGCGCCGCGTGGCTGCTCGCGACGCTGCTCTGCCGGCTCCCGGGCACTGATCCTGGAGATCCGCTCGTCCCGTCTGGTCCTGAGAGGTTAAAAGCCAAATTGTTGCAGGGCACCATGGAGCAAGACAACAGGAAAGGCCGCGAAGCCGTTGGGAGGTGGGCTGAGGTGCTGATGGGAGCCTGGGATGTAAATAAACCAGATTGCTCTCATTTCCTCTTTCCACTGTATTATGCATTCCAATAGCACTATTCATCTTTATGACAGACACCTATTGCTTTAACTTTACTGCGGGCCACTGAAGTACATTAAAGTGGGCAGGAAATGGAAATAAATAGAGTTCAGCGGAGGCTTCAGAATAGCTAAACACACTGCAGTCATTTTTAGTGTGGGGTCATGTGTTCTTTAGCAGATCTGCCGTGTTTCCTCATTTTTGTTGTAAAGCCGGGCCCTGTTTAAAAGAGATGTGATATGCTTTCAAACTAAGTAAAAAAAATGGCTTAGATATTTTTTCTGACTCTTTAGGATAGCAAAGATGAAAAGAAATTGGCTTGGGTCTCAGCTAGGGTGTTAATGGGGAATGTGTCTGTGTGTTCCAACTCAGGACATGGATAAAGCAAGATATGGGCTTCAGGAGTTTTACTAGCTGGCAGCATGGGAGGAGGACCACAGGGTTTGGCTGAAATTAATTTTCTGCTTAAATGTAGTGAAACATTCAAGTAAGGAGGCCAGATGGAATTTGGCCTCGAAAACACAGTGTTGGTTTTCTAATTCATGCACATTTTGCCCGCTGTGGAAACGTGGAATGCTCTGTGCTCTCCTGCTTATTCAGAGGCTGTTTTCTAGCACAATTAAGTTATGATCACAAGTCCTAGCTGCTCTTAGACTTAATCAGTTGGGACTTCTCACGAATGCTGTTTCTGTGAAAGCTTTTGCATGTTTGTTTTTTCTGAATTGTTTATATTCTGATAAGAGACAGGTCAATAACCAAACGAATATACAGCATGAGCTACTTTAAGGCATTTAGCTCATATTTTTATTCCCTTGAGATAGTTAGCTTTATGGCAACTTTTTTGTTGTTGTTTAATTTAACTGTTAGCATTCTTCTCTCCCTAATTACTCTGATAAGTGTCTAGTTTTGCTCCATAATATGTTCTCTTTTCCTTTCTGCCAGCAACAGAGACAGTTGAAAGCAAGCACTAGCCTTCAAAATGTTTATCAATATAGAAGATATTAGTGGATATTCCACAATGTCATGCAGGATAAAAACTAATTTGTAAGCAGCACATCAGAAATCTGGAAAGACAATTAAGACAAAAAATCATTAACATCGATCCTTTTGCACTGGGAAAGTACATTCCTTTCTTCCAAAGCATCTTGTAAAAATGTTGTGTGCCCATGTCCATGCTTAAGGAAATATTTCAGTGTAACATTTAGCTTTTATTTCATTCTTTTCAACTATGTTTATATCAAGAATCTCATTTAATTCAGATATACTTGCATTGCACAGACTAGTGCCAGGCAGAATTGCAGGCAATTACTGCGGGTGGTTGCTGGCGGTCTGACTTTTCATCATTTGTTCGTCATCGTTTGTTCGCACTCTGCGGATAGTTCCTCGCTGAAAGGATTAGGTTACAGATGGGTGGGTATTACTTCACCGACTTCTTAAGTGAGAATCCAGATGCTTTTCCCCGTCCTCTCCATTTGCTGAGTTCGGGAGTTAGCAGTCAGTAGCTGCAGGTAAGATTAAAGCTTTTTGCCTTTATTTCTTTTTTGCAGTGGAGATGAGCTCTATTAGACTATTAAGTAAGGAAAAGACCCTACTGGAAAACTTTAAATACTTCGGAATTCATAAATAGAGATAAAATTTCCAGAAAATCTAAGTTTTGTTTTTTAAATGCATATCAGAAGAGTTCAGCTCCAGCAGAGTGTTTTGGCATTGGACTCTTTTGCAAACCTGGATATTATTTTGGTGCCTAAGCAGGATTGGGGCATTTCTGAGATGCTGGCTTTTGGGCACATCACAGTTGACACTGATATGTCTGTAGTTTCAAGGGCAACTGTCTCAGGTCACAGTATTTTGCAGTGGTGAAATGTGGGGTTTTACACAGGCACCACATCAGTATTTACTGAACAGCAGGAAAACTGCCTTTTTCCTTGCTGGATTTCCCTGTGAGGAAAGGCAGCCGCAGGGTTATCTGTCAGATAGAGACATGTGAATTAAAATGACCGTTTTCTTCTTTCGATTATAAGTCGCTGTCCGTGTTTTCCAATTTGAGCCGGTTGTTTTCCCACTGCAGGCTTCCAAGGAGAAGCCTCGAGGCAGACGGCAGGCAGCCCGTGCCGCGTGGAACCGGGCGGCTCTTTTGCCGGATGCCGTGGCAGGAGCGAGCTTGCCGTGCGTGCCGAGCTTGCCATCCTCCCGGGAGCGCGTGCACATCCCTTCCCCATGCTCATGCTCGTGCGAGTTGTCTGCACACACAAATACAATCTCCCAGGGGTTTGCCAAGTTTCGTGCATTGTAAGAAGCACTGAAAAGGCTGGAAAATTCAGACATTTCTGAAAACTTCTGCTTATATAAGCAGGTATTGTCTCTTGCCTTGACTTCTTGAGAGGCTTGCTGGGCTCCCTAGAGTGGTTGTCCTTGGCAGGACTGTTTGTTTTACTCTTCTGAGTCATGGTTGGCAGTTTTTGAATGGCTACAGCTTGTATACCACTAATAAACAGAGGATGAAATTAGGGTTTTGGGTTCTGTAGCCATTACTGCATGGTCACAGAATTTTGCTCTGAGCAGCATTTGGAAAGCAGGTGTGAGGAGCACAGCTATAGAGGAGCAAAGGAAGCATCCTCCTTGAAGCAGAACAGACTGCAGCGATCTTGGAGCTGCAGAACGAGGTTGAAGAGGCTTGAACGTAGCATGCCTGGTTTCAGCAGAGGTGCCTATCCCCTAGCATCCCGCGCGCCCGCCTTGCCTTTCCGTCAGCAGAACTGGAGCAGGGATCGCTTGAACTGCATCCCCTCTCCCACCAGTGTGCGCCGCACATTTGGCCACTTGCCTTTATTCTTTTCCCCCGTAAAATACGAGGGTGTAATGTCCACCCCAGGCTCTCTGGACAGTGGGGCCTCCAGAGCAGGCCTTCCCCAGTGCCGGGCAGTGCCACCATGTACTAAAACTGCTTTAATGGGGCTGGCGTTAGCTTTAAAGTTATGGTTAATGTTTTTAGCGGTACCTTGTGTTTCCTTTGCCCTTCATGCCTAGCCATTAGCCAGGTGTTCAAGTCGTCTCAGTGCCCAGCTGGTCCCTTGGTGAGGAGCTGGAGGGGAATGGCCATGGATGCAAACAGGCAAGCACAGCAATGGGATGAGTGGCTTGAATGGCTTCTTGTAACTGCTTGGCAGAATGCAAGCACTGGAAATTAGGGGGTGGTTTAAACCTCTGTGCTTATATGACTTTTTTTTTCTGTGATATTTTTAAGTAAGTATATATATATATTCCCTTTAATATGGTTTCCTCCCTGTTTCCTTATGTCTGCAACATGGGCCTGACTCTGATCTGTCTTACGCTGTAAACTCAGTTTATGGAACTAGAATTGAGGGGTCATTAATTTTCTTTACATCAAAAGGAGTTGTTTCTTTTAAATGAGGAGCCTGCTTCACCTAGTAATTCAGTTTAATTGCTTATTTGAAACTCTCGACATTTGATAGCAATTTAAACGTTGCCAGATGAGCCTCTTGCAGCCGGGACCTGCAGGTGCTTCCTCCTGTGCCCAGCTTTAATCAAGGGAATGAGCCCTGTGATGGGTCTGGCTGCGGCCAGGGTGGCACGGCCCTAAGAGCAGGAAAAGAGCATTTTTGGGGGCTGTTTGAATAGATGCTGCATGTCAACATCTGCAAGAATTTGCTCCGAGGGTTCCCTCTTGGAAACGTTTCTGCGGACTGTGGTGCTATTTGTTTTTCTTGGGAGACAGATTGCTGGGTCTCTGTTTTGCCTCAGGCTCAGTAGTGCTTGCAGCACTGATACTTTTATTTTTCTATCTAACTAATGCCACTTTCTCCTCAGAGGCTAGTAAGTTAGAAGAAAAAGCTCCTAGAATAGTACTTTTGCCTGACCAATATTAATTAATTTAGTATTACCGTCTTCTGGGAGATTTGGAGGGAATGAACTTTTGTGCTTAGGACTAGAAGCAAATGCCACAACTTCAAAGATGGTTTTACAGGGGTCTAAACCTCAATAAAGAGAAAAGAAACAAAAATTAAACTGTGCCTTTTATTTGGACCTGTAAGTCAGTGCACTAATGTGAATGCAACTTACTGTTCAGTCAGCAGCCAGGACTAGCTTGCTTTCACCTCCCCCTTTTTATTTTATTTTATTTTTTTTAAGTTGAGACTTTAAATAGTCATTTTTTTTTTTAAAAAAAAAGACTATTAAAAAAAAGGGTCATAAAATAGACCTTAATTTAGACTATTGTGAAAAAAGCAACTCTTGTTAATGATTTTTGGCTGGTAGAGTGATGTAATGCTGGATATACCCCTAAAGATTTTTATCAGAACAGGTCTTTATTTTGGGAGGCAGGTTTAAGAAGCTATTGCAGGAGTAGTCCAGGAGCTGAAAATAAAATAAAGTCCATGCATCCTCTGGACAAGGTGGGAGTGTTTTAGGACTTTATAAATTGAGAGCAAAGGGAAATACCACAGTTGAAAGAGAATAATAAGCAAAGCCAAAGCACCAGTGCCAGGACTTTTTAAGAGTTTTATTGATGTGTGTTATAATTAAAACCAGAATTAGTTAGTTTTCTAATAGGATACTCATTTCCTAGAGAGCAATTGCAGTTTGGCATAAAGTAATACACTTTTTAAAATGAGGGCTGATCAGGGGATACCGAGCATATGTAGTATGGCTGACTTATTAGCTGTGCCTGCCCTCGTTATTAACAAGCAAATTAAATATTTTCACTTAAAATAATTAAACAAATAAACCTTTTGGCTGCCCTGTGATTTCATTAAAACCTTAATTGTTTGGAGAGCTCAACGAGAGCGTGTGAAGTTGGTCAGTTTTACTGCTTGGCATCAGTCTTGATAGCAGATTTACAACACAGCTGGATTTAATCTCTTGACTAATCTCTACAGTAGCTGGTTGGGGATGGGAAGGTGTTTGTGTGTTTTAGGAGATAGGAAACTCTATCTCCCAAATGGAAACCCAGTGCTGGGTTTTAAAGTGCTTGGGCAGCCTTAAAGTGAACTAGCCAAAGGGGAGGGGAAGAGAAATTGCTCTGTGGAAACAAAATAGGTGTTGCTTTTAAATCAGCTTCATGGTGTGCACATTGTCACACCTTCACACATGGCCGGAGGCTCAAATCTATTTTTCATCAAAGCAACTCTGGCAGAAGGGAATATTGCCACCCTCTGGGTCACAAAGAGCAGAAATAAGGCACATTGCTTGTCAGAGAGTCAGCTGTGGGCAGTGCCACCTAAACTGTTTCTCCTGCCACTTGATTAGTCCTCTCTGAGGGTGAGGATAACAGAAGGTTTACTGGGTCATGCACTGATTTTTTTTTTTGAATACTCTGAGATCTAATATGGGTTTAAAATGGTGGTTTGGCTTTGAGATGCATTACCGTATTTGTAGGGTCAGCATCAGCCCTAACGTCCCTGGGCACGAGAAGCACACGGATAGGTATGATGTCTCAAAAGAAGGGTTAATTAGCTGAGTGACTCATTAGTGAATGCACTGCAAGCCCCACAGGTAAGTTCTGCTGATGATTTCCTTGCAGGACCTCATACAAATGAGTCTACTTGTGGTTTATTAATCAGCTGTTACTTGCAAATCTTTTGGGGGTGTTCAGAGAAACCTGAGAGTTGCAAGGACTCTGCTGGGCGAAGATCAAGTCACTGAAAATTCTTTTTCTTTCTCTCTCTATGTATAAATATACATATATATGTATATATATATTTTTTCTGCTTGCCCCTTCTTTAGGACCCACGATTATCAGCTTTAATTTTCGACAAGCTTCAAGTGCCTGACTACTTACAGAAAAACAGGAATGAAGGAGAGAGCCGGTGTGAAACCTGCGCCACTCACCTGAACCAGCTGAAGCAGGAGGCCTTGCAGATGGTCCACGCGCTCAGCCAGGCCGGCCACGCCGAGGCGCCCGAGCCGGGTGCCGCCGCCGTCACCAGCATGGTGCCCCGCATGGTTGCCGTCTCGGTGCAGCTTGTGGCTGGGCCCGTGGGCAGGCAGCCTGGGAAGTCGCCGAATCTCTTCTCTGGGAGCGAGAGGAAGAAGGGCCTGGGCTGGCCTCAAGGCGGGGGCAGTTTTCCCAACTCCAGCGTTCAAGTCACGGTGGCCCCCAGCGGTCTCAGCAGCGCCCTGAGCTCCGTGACCATCCAGGCTCAGCAGTACCTTGAGGGCATGTGGAGTATTTCTAGGGTGAACAGCTTCCTGCCTCAGGCTTGTCTAGTAAGTAGCCCTATGTACGTGTGTGCGCGTGTATACTGAGAGACAAAGATAAGATTTTGTATGTGTACATATATATCTCAGCGGGAATCAGCTAATCTCTTTTAAACCACGTTTCAAGAACGGAGGAGCTGTAAAAGCGCTGTGAATGATGTTCTCTCAGGTGTCACAGAGAATTGGCTTTTTTATCTCGGGTGGTGAGATCCTTCCCTCAGATGCCTTTGCACCTCTTAGCTTCATGTATGCAGGTGATGTTGTTTGGTTGTCCCGTAGCTGGTGACCACTTCAGAAAACATGAAAGGTTTGTCACAGGAAACTCTGGGAGCTGTATGGAAGTTACATCAAAGGTGAACTCGACCCTCAAGTCTAAGGCTGAATTTCTAAGGCTGTGTTGAATTCGTCGGTGGATGCTGTTTCTACGCTGTGGTAGAGAAATTTAATCTTCAGGTTAAATGTGTTGCAAAACAGTTGGCTCTAAAGAAGGAGGATGTTCAAAAGGTTACTACAACGGCATATCTCTGTAAATGCCATTGCACTTAGATTGTTAAGTGCTGTGAATGTTGAATCAGGGTATTCTGTATTCACTGCGTGCTTTTAAAACACAGATCATCCCTGTGGGGAAGCAAAAAGCTTTATAGATGGCATGTTACCTTAAGAAGCAATTCATTACGGATTTGTGATTTTCTGTGCAGATCTTTGGAAGGCTGCTAGGAAGAAGAGGATATAGTGATTCTTTTTGACTGAGACTTATTCCTAATCTGCTTCCCCTTGACAGTGAACGAGGAGTGCAAAGAGACACTGTGCTGCTGCTGTTGATGGCTGGCAGATGATGTGTACAAATAGCAGCTCTCAGCTTGTCACTTTAGACATTTGTGGTGCATTTTGCAACACCAGGAGCATTGGTGCTAGGCAGCTTTAAATTTGATATAAATACCTAATATACAATTTCATATACCTAAAATTGCTTCATGGCTTTGAGATGACTGAGCTCCAAGATCGTCCAAGATATTTAAGAGTGCTGTTGTGTAACTACTTTTACAGGGTAATGCTTGCCTTTGCTTCCAGTAAAGGCTTGGGGAACTAATTCTTCCTTCTGGTATGTCTCACTTGTATGGAAATATGTGAAGGCACATATAGCCCACTTTTGAAGGATCCCCACGTAAACCCAGTGTATCTTCACAGATGTCGCATTGCTCTCTGATCAAAAAAGGAGAAAAAAGCCTAGCCAGTTCAATTCTTAATGGTATTTGGGGAATGTCTATAACAAGTGTTGTTCTGTAAAACGCCTTCTCTATGCATTGGGCATCACTGCCCTTGTGAAACATGTGACATTATTGTATCTTTAAAGTTCTGTGTTTATCACAGAATCAGAAAAAAAGGGAAAGTTACTGGCTTAAAAAGCCTGCACTTTTCATGAGCAGTATTTTCGTTTTCCTTGTCTGCCCTTACTGTTGTCTTAAATATTTCATTAGCACCCAGCTCCAGATTTTTTCCTGCTTAACCATGCTGACTGATAGATGTGGTTTCCCCTAACCACTGCATTATTCTATAATAAAATTGAGTTACCTCGTCTAACCCCTGTGAAGAAAAACCACATGTATATAATGCAACAGAGCTTAAGTATCATCTAGAAATGTACAAAAATCAGTAACCTGATAAACAGTGACCTTTAATTAAGGACAAACACTCTTAGACTGAGTGTTGGATACTGCTTGGATGTGATCCAGGTAGCTACAAGGTCAGTTTAGATTTACAAACAGTTTCTGGAGAGAAGCTAGGATTTTTTTTTTTTTTTTCTCAAATGTGATTGCTAGAGACTTGTGTGCATCTCTGCCCAAATTCTGCTTTCTCTGGCTCTTTGAATTGTCTTATTGACTTTTTACATCGGGAACCTCGTGTCTGGTGAAGCTGTTTGTGTAAGGCAGAACATTTTCCCTTGCCCAGTGCTTTTCACAGGAGGAATCATAGTGCTGGAAGAAGCAGCCTGGGCACTGCCTGGTCTAGCCCTTACCCAGGACAGGGCATTCTTGTTCAAAACTTGTCTCAGCTAATAGTTATGCAAAGATTTCCCAACTTCTGCTGATTGCCAGTTCTGATGTTAAATTTCCTTTCCTGTTGGAGGGATTTTCTTGTTTCCTTTTTAACCAATCTCTAGTGCTGTAATTTAAACCTGTTATTGCAGTTGCCAGTTGGTGGGCACAGAGAAGAGTTTATTCTGTTCCTCTTAATAGCTAAGCTTTATGTATTAAAAATTGATTATTGTGTTTTTCTTTAGTCTTTCTCTACATTAAAAAAGAACAAACACTAAAAAATCTAAACCTTCAGCCTTTCCTTGTTGGTCATGCTTTGTAGACTTATGATCAATCCTGTAATTTTTTCTGAATTGTCACTTCTTGGCACATACCCATCTAACTAGCAGGGCGCTCCAAATTGGATATGTTGTTCCAGATGAGGTCTCACCAAAATGAAGAGATTGGTGGATGACCCCAGAGAGTCATTCTTCAGACTCTGGCCTTTCACTGAAATCAAAGAAAACCTCAGTGTTGCAGCTGTGCAGCGGATCTTCAAAATATAGCACCAGTGTAGTCAGTGGAAAACATAATCTAGTCTATTTATTTCCATCTGTGCTTACATACATGATTTTGGACATTCTTTAAGTTGGAGATGGTGTTTAAGATTATCTTTATTAAGATTTTAAGAAAAATGCTAGAGCAAGGAAAACCTAAATGATAAAAAGGCTAACGCAGACTCATGAAGAATGTTAATTATTATGTGTAATGTGATTGCATCTTGGGAATTCTTGACTCCTTTAAACAAGATACTGTGGACAAAAAAGATGGCCCCTGCCCCAGGGCGTTTATACTCTCAGTTGTGATATTAGTTATTTTGAGTACTCTGTAAAAACTGCTATTTCATTCAAAAATCTGTAGCTGTCCCTTGTTTCCTTATGAGAGATCTCCTCTCAAAATGAGTCGTTCCCACCTAACAGTTCAAGTACTTCCCGTCTGTCTTGGTGGTTTAACTCGGTGCCCCGGGTGGAGTAAGCATGACTCATCTTCCAAAGATTGGAAGGCAGGCATAGATAAAGGCTGGGATTCGTCTCAGCTATTTTTAGCTGCCAAAAAGACAGATGTTTATTCAAAGGTAATTACCCAGGCTTCCTTTATAGTTATGGGAGAGCAACAGCCATCTCCACGAGACACTTTTTCCTTCTCTCCAAGACATCTGTCTTGGCTTGACTTGTCTGCTGAAGGTGCCGTGAAGGTGCCAAGAAGCAACACGGTGGTGTATGTCTGCCACACCACACAGGACCCAGCATGTGCTACCATTTCTCCAGGGACCATATTTTTATATATGGTTAGTTTTAACAGTGAAGGTATTGGAATTGTTTGACAGAAAAAAAAAAAAAGAGATAAGATTTCTTCTTTTCACATTTTCCTTCCCAAGCTTACATGTATTGCCTCCTAATGTCACTCAGGTTTGCAAAGCCACAGCTGGGCTGAGTGCTTTGGTTCAGGAATGCAGAACGTTGCATGCTTTTCGAGATCCATGTTTGGATCTCAAGATTGAAAACACGTTGTATAGATTCTACATTTTTGGAACAGGAATGTGTCTTTGAAGTGTAGTGTGGGTGCTGCTCAAATCAGAATAGTAACTGTGGGCTTCAGGAGCTGTGGAGAACAGCTGTAATGGAAGATCTGAGGGAAGGTCCAGGAGGGGAAAAATGAGGAAAGCATCCAAAGTGCAAAAGGGGAAGAGTGTAATCAGCCACTTTAACCATGTGGCTTCTGGTCGAAAAAATACAGATAATAACCAGTAGCACTAATAATAGTTTGACCAGACAGTGAGTGCTGTAAAGGGAAGAGAGCTGATGTGACTCTTGTGACAACTGATTCGTAGTGGACCACTGACAACTTTATTTAATGAACAGGTTTTGTTTTTAGCATTAATGCATTTAATTCTAGACCTGACCATTGAATACAGGTTACTACTCAAATGAAGCACAGCATATGTTAGCAGTGCTCAGCATTACTGCTCAGTTTAATACAAAATCAGAGTTGCTTCTTAGTTGCATTGGAATTTGGCTGAGATGTTAAATATTAAAATGACTGAAAACACATTGTACACTTACTAGAAGTATCTGCATGTGTTGCTTATTTTGGAGAAAAGAGGTCCAACAGTATGTTTTCAATTGACTGTGTTATGTAGTACTGAATACTAATAAAAGTGGTAGCATAGCCATCCCATGTGCTGGAAAAATGTTGCAGTGAAATAGAGCTTGTTTGCAAATTGCTTTTTCTTTCATCTTATGCAAAAGAAATCCTTGCCACATTATTTTTCTAAATCGCGTATAAACAAATGGTACTGGTTATAAGGCAAAATATTCTGTTTAGCTCTTTGCCAGTTTCTAAGTTGCTTTCAAATCTTAAAAAATGCACTGTTAGGAAATTGAAAAAGTTGGAATATTAGAAAATATTAGAAAAAATGCATTTAAACTTTTAAAGTATATGTATCTAAAATTGTAAACTTATGGGTATTCCAATGTGTGTCCCTCACATTAATCAAAAATTTTCAGTTATATATATGTTTATGACTTGATTCAGTGTCGGAGGTCAGGGTGGGGATCCTGATACATGTAAACGGGTGTGTATACTCTGAAATTAAAGGAGTTATGGTCGTTTATTTTTATGTGCAAAATCTTTGGAAGTTATTTTAGTCACAGTTCAAAGTATCTTGTCATTCTTAGGAATAAATCTTCTACTTAAGCTAATGTAATCCAAAGGGATTTGTCTGAGGATACAGTTCAGCCCCTGTTAAATTTCTCCAAATCTGCTTTGTTTGTTTTTAATGAAGATGACTTACATTTTGCTTAGAAGATATAAGCAAAGATATAGGACTGTGGGAAACGGAAGAATGACAAAAGTTACTTCCCAGCATTTACCTTTGTACAAAAGTCACACAAAACGGATTTTTAAATTAATTTTTAGAATCTTTCTTGATCA